AAACAACACGTCAAAACTTATGGACTACAACAAGACTAATTCTAAGAAGAAAGATTATAGCAATAAAATCCTACATGAAAAAGAAGAAAGATCTCAAATAAACAATTGAATATTATACACCAAGGAACTAGAAAAATAACTAAGGGTGAAATTAGAAAAATGATGAAATAATATAGATCAAAGTAGAAATATATCAAATCTACGTAATTTTAGTTTCAACTAAAAAATTACTAAACATGCAAAGAAGCAAGAAAATGTTACTGAAATGAAGAAATAAGCTAATACATTGATACTGACCTAGAGTTAAGAGAGGCAATGAAAAAGCAAAAAAGTATGTAAAGCTACATTTTATGTGTTCAAAAATAGTATAAACATGACAGATATTAAGAAGATTGAAATTTAATGTCTAGAAATAAAATTAAAATAGGTGATATTAAAAATTAATGGGTAGGCTTCATAGAAGATTAGAAATTGCAAAATGAAAGATTACTGAACATGAAAACATATTAATAGAAACTAAAATAAGATTCAGATAGAAAAGAAAAAATAAATGGAGGAAATAAGCTGCCGGAAAAACTACAAGCTACCTCATCTACATGTGGTTTGAATTCCTAGGAAAGAAAAGACAGAGAGAAAAATCTTTAAAAAAAATAGTGGTTAATTTCTATATATTTGCTGAAATCTATAAACTTACTGATCCAAGAATCTAAAGAAATTCCAAATACATGAAGAATGAACAAAAAGTATGACTACATACATCATAATTAAATTGCTGGAAATAAGTGTAAAAGAGTACAACAAAAAAGCAGTCAGAAAAAAAGCATGTTTCATACAAGTGATTAAAGATAGAGACAGCAGCAGATTCTTGGTAAAAAAAAAAATACAAGTGAGAATACATTGCAATATTTTTAAAGTATTGAAAGGAAAAGACTGTTAAAGGGAACTGCATCCTCACTGAATAAACATTTGAAAAACAAAGATATAAAAGCAAACCCTAAGGATGTAATAAAGACTAGAAAGAAATAAATAGCTACAAAAAATTTTACCAGTTCTTCACTATAAGAAGTTTAAAAGAGTTCCATCAGGTGGAAATAGAGTCACACCAGGCAGAACTAAATGTTATTGTTTATTGTTGTCTAAATTTAAGTTGAGAAGCATCTAGCCATATTTCTTAGGAGACAAATTTTATTAATATCAGGTAGAAAATATGATTGTACATACAGATTTTCAGACATTAAAAGGGTAAGTAAATATCATATGCAATTAGGCCAATAAATGTGCCAATGAAAATAAATTAGGCTTATTACTTGAAAGATTCAAAACAGAAAAATATAATCTCAATAGTGCCTTTACTGTTAAAGTTGTTTAATTCATACTTTCAAATGTTCTTTATAATAAGATTCCAAACCCAAATGACTTCACAGGTGAGTTTTATACTAACAAATATTTAAGGAATCATTTGAAATTAATATCATCTCACCAAGTGCATGCTCCACAAACAAATTTATCACTTGAATTTGCTGAATTTAAAATGATTTTCTTTCTGAAGGACACTATAAAGAAAGTGGAAATGACAAGCCACAGATTGTGAGAAAACGTTCACAAACTTTAAATCGGATAAAGGAATGCTTTCAGAACACATAGTGAATTCTCAAAACTCAATAATGAGAAAATAACCTGATTAAAAAACAACATATAAGAGTAAAATATTTATGAGGGCATTTCCTCAGAGAAGATGTGAAGAAAGAAAATAAGCACATGATGAGATAATTCAAGAGCATTTGTTGTCAGGAAAATACAAACCAAAAAACCCACAATAGTATACCAGGATAGTGCTGTACTAATGGTTAAAAAGTTCGTAAGTGTTTTGAAGTTCAAGTGTTTTCAAGAATACAGAGGAATGAGGCTCTCAGACACTGTAAGAAGGAATGTATCATGGTAAGAAAATGAAAATTTTTAAATAGTTAAATATACATCTATCATATTATTTAGCCATTCTACTTGGAAGTATATTCTCTAAAGAAAGGAAAGCACATATCTACAAAAATATTTGTACATGAATGTTTATAGCAGTTTTCTTTGTTATTGCCATGATTTTAAAAGTCCAAATGCACATCAAAAAGTGAGTGGGTAAAAGAAACTGTGGCATATTCATTCAATGGAGCACCACTTGGGAACAAAAAGGAACACGCTGTTGAGAGATATTTCATATGAATGGATCTCAATTATTCTGAGTGAAAATCAGCCAAAAGAGTCCCTCTGACATGACGTCACTTTACAACATTCTAGGAAACTCAAACTACTGTGCAGTGAGAGCAGATCCACTGTTCCTCAGGCTCAGGCAGCCTTGGGGAGAAGTAGGACTGTGTCTCACAAGAGGGATACAAGAAAACTTTACATGAGCATGCTCCCTTGATGACGGTGGTAATTCTGTGGATGATGGTGGTAATTTTGTGTCACAACATCAATCTGAATAATTTAAATATGTGTCACTTGTTTCATGTTAATTATACTTCAATACTGCTGTTCAGTCAGGGGTCACACAACTGTGGCCAGTCCTGTGCCTCTGCTGAAAAAAAGGAACTAAAGCTGTCTCTAGAAAAATCTTCTTGCTTATTTGAAGCATATTTTATAAAATTATGTATGTGTCATGCATGTAAGGATTATTGAAAAGAAATATTTTAATGGAGGCAGCATTTGAAATTGCAACATGACTTAATCTCCTCTCAAATATTTTTGGAACATTCCTTCCAAACTCTCTAAGATGAGCCACTCACTGTGAATGGAGTCTTACCTCTTTGCTTCTCTCTGAGTCTGCTGTGAAGTAAAATGTGGTAGGTAAGACGGGAGCTACAGATTTGCTCTCTATGTAGAATAATCTGCACAGTTTACAGTGAGATTTGCTTGGAAAAAACAGGACACAAATGGGATACAAATGGGAAAATTCCTAACTGTTCCACATCAGCAAGTGTTTTTTAGCAATGCTGCAATCCATCTAAAATTCCATTAAGTTAATAAAGGGGAGTCTCTGCCAGTTCCTTGCTTCTATTTTTTTAACACACTGATATATTGAAGAATTATAGTCTGAATGTCTCCTAAACCATGTAGGGACAGTAGGAGTCTTAGGTGGAATTAGATTAGGGACCAGGGCCCTTGAAGACATCTCTGCAGCTCAGTAAGCAGCAGATAGCAGAGCTGACAGTTTGGTTTTGACACCTGCCTTTGTGTAGCTACACTGAGCTGGCGGCCTGTGGTTTCGACAACCCCTTGTTTGTAGCTATGCTGTTCCCCCTAAACCCCTCTTTAAGTAAGTTGCTTCTCAAAAAATGTTTCCCTTCCAAATTCCCCTGCCAGCCTACTTACTCTGGCCCCTAGCAACAAGTTTAGTAACCAATCAAGTGTCAGCCCTCAAGGGGGTGGATACAGGGCCCCTACTCCATAAAACAGGACCATGGCCCCAGATTCCATGGTGTCCCAGCTCTGAGCACCTCACGCCTTACCTGGGGTGGCTTTCTACTCTTTCTGCAATACCTATAATAAAAGTACTTCTGCCTTGCACTAGACTTCTCTGATTATTCCTCCTCTTTCTATGTGGGAGAAAGAGACAAGCTGGGCCAGGGCGAGTCTGGTGAACCACTGGATATAACAATCACAATGTGCTATATATTCATTGTTTCTCTGAATTAAGTCAATTTTTTTATTCTTTAGATAATACAAATTGAACTACAATAAACTATGTTATCAAAAGAGTAAAAAAAAAAAAATTCATGACTAAAACAAAAAGACCCTGTGTCAGTTACCTAAATAAAGTATTAGGTAAAATATTTCCTTGGTTTAGCATTGAGTCAGCCAAACAGTTTGTGCATATAAAGAGACCCGGGAAAATGGCATTGAACCTGACATGAAGGCAGTCCTTCAGCCTCTTTCCGCATCCAAGGAGGCACTGAAGTTCATAGAATCCCAGAGATGCATGTCTAGGAATCCTAGAAATTCAAATTAATGCTCACTGCAGATATTAGATTTATATTTAGAAAGAAAAAAAACTAAGTTTCATAAAAGGCTATAATAAAATGTGTTATTTATAGCAGAGATATCCAGTGGCATTCTGGTAAATGCTTCATAATTGGCTTGAAGGTGGGGGAACTGGACAAGCCCTGTTTTGCAGTGATTGTCAATTTTTGTGTTGTAAATATGCTTACCACGGGTGATTTCGAGTTGATTTATTGAATAAGAAGTTGTAAAGTGTACAGTCAGCCCTCTTGGGCTTGATAGTGAGCCAGAACAAGCACTCCAGGGGAAACTTATCATGTGTGACTAAAACTAACTCCAATCTTATAAGAGAAAGTCCTAGAATATGCTAGGAATATGTTTTGTCCTTTGTGGATGAATTTTTAACTCTGATGATATCTTTTAACCTTGAACAACACATTTCCATTTGACGTTATCTTTATGAGATACTTGCTACCTAACATCAAATATTTGAAGTATTGCTAAGATTGAGGCATTTAACAAAGTTGCATTTATTTAACGGGAATCTCTCTAAACAAAACAACTCCAATTAAGAGCTTATTGTGAATTCTCTAAAGAATGAAAAGGTAACAAACAAGATGTCTTAATACCAATCTTAGACAAAATTAACCCAGGGCAATTTGTTAGTAAAAGGAGAGAAGGATTAGGATAAAGTCAAATGCATCTCCCATTCCAGAACTTGTTTATCCCACAACTAAGTAGAGCTGTCAGTTCGTTTGTATTTTTGTTTTGAGGCAGTATTGCTTTGCAATAATAGGAGTTAATAAGGAACATCAAAAGCCTTCTTTTTGTGGAGTTTCCCACAAAGAGAGACTTTCTCAAAGGTTTACAAGGAAAACTAACAGAAGGAAACAAACTTTCAAACTGGAAATTCAACAAAAGGGGCGAAAACAAGAGCAACAACAGCTCCAGCATTTCAACACAGCTAGCAAAGAAACAATAAAAGGAGTAACAAAAGAGCAGACATATACCCAAGTTCTGAGTCTGACTGCAGCTGGAGCACTGAGGGGTCTGTGTCCCACTGCAGGGTCCTAATAGGGCGGCACAAAGGAAAAAGAACACAGAGAATTAACAAAAGGGGAGGGCAACAAACCAAACCAAACCAAATCATCATTCATCAAGGTAGTGCATATACAATATACAATACATACACAGAACAGTCCCAGCCCATCCCCCTCCATTCCCAGGAATTGGCGAATGACGAGAGAAAGTGAGAAGCCATCTTTCCCTTTGCACATCTGTTTGATTGGAAACTATGGCTGATTTCTTGGAAGACAGCCACAGCCAAATATTCAAGCTCCATGCACCCACCCACCCTGTGCTTTGTTTTGGTTTGTACCACAGTCTGATTGACGTGAGCATGCAAACTGCTGTATGTCTCCCTGACACCTCAGAGCCCATCCCTGTCTGGGAACTCCAAGTATCTCCCAGGCTCTAGTGAGAACTAGACGCACATGGACCACAGCAGGAGCATCTGCAGATGCAGGACTAGATGGAGCATAGTTTCAGGATCTGGTGAATAAACTGGCTTACTCTAGGCAGTTACTGTAAATATGATACACTAGGTTTAGAAACTTATGAGTATTTTCATGTTTTTCCTCTATGTAGATTACATCAAATGGTCACTACAGATGTCATTTGTCTCTACGATGCCAGAGATTTATATCTTTAAAATATTTCACAGGAGAAAACACAAGAGTACCAGCAATCACCAGGACATCCCAACTCCCTTGATGTTTCTCCTTCAGAATAGAAGGAATAAATAGCTCCAATATAATAAATAGTCCACACATGGAACTTCCTCAGGCAGGCTTTTTACATTTCCTGTACAGAATCAGTTACAGATAAAGCAGGCATGAGGCTCTTTGGGAGACAACTGATGGGCATCCCACCCTTTGGAGTCAAGCATGTTCGACTCAAAGTGGGCCTCCGTGACTCACTCGCGGTGTATGTTGGGCACACTGGATTAAGTTCTCAGGCCCGACACTATCTTGCTTGTTCAATGTGTGGCTCACAGACCAGTGGCATCAGCATCCCCGGGAAGCTTGTTGGAAATGCAGACACTCGGGTCCAATCCCAGATTTACTGACTCCATGCTACAGTTTAACAAGGTTCCCAGGTGATCCGTGGGCTTATTAACATTTGAGAAGTCTTTGTCAGTTATCTTGTCTGTAAAGATTTACCGTGGCCCAAGAAATAATTTATGATCTGCTTGCAGCTATCTTCCAACTTATCTGCAACTGCTCTTCTCCCTCAGTGTCCTCTTTGATATTCTTGCACCAAACATCTAAATGGCTCAGGAATTTGTTTCTGACATAGCTTGGCTCAAATGTCATCTTCTTCACACAGACTCTTCCTTCCCCTGTTCCAGCTAAGTTCTCCTTCCTTATCATTTGTCAGCTCTCGCCCTTACCTTGATCTACTTTCTTGATTCAACTTTACGTATGAGTTTCATCAGTTTATTTCTCACTGACATTTGACTCATAATGGCAGGGGTGGCCGCATCCCTATATTATAGGGATATGTTTATATAATATTTGCTGAAGGAATGAATCTTTCTCTATTTTTCTTACAGGGAATAAATGCAATTATACCTAGAAGGCATAGTAACCATATGATAATCGGTAACTGCGGTTATTGCTACCATGACCTACTCTGTCTTGTTAATGCTTGAGTCAATGCATCATCTACATGACAGATCCCATTATTAGCTTCTGCTGAGAGATGAGGATACAATGCCTCTGCTTCCTTTATTACCTCTGGTTGTGCTCCTGTCTTCTTGCCTGAATGCGCTGAAAGATGATAACTGAAGTCCAGTGACAACACAAACTGGCCACTCTTTCTGACACCAGTGCTTCTCAAACATTTTTGCACATAAAGATTCCTGGATATTATTAAAATGCAGATTCTGGCTTAGTAGGTTTGGGGTGGCCTGAAATTCTGCATTTTGAACAAGTTCTAGGGGATGCTCATCGTGCTGGGCTGTATTAAAGTCTTGACCTGGATAAGTGCTTCTCAGACTGACCTTGAGAACTTAATGACACGCAATACTAATCCCCAGCCCCAGAAATTCAGATTTAGTAGATCTGGAGAGGAGGCGGAGAATTTATACTTCTACCAAGTTCCCAGGTGATATTTACAAGACTGACTAGGGGTTCACCTTTAGAGAATGACTGGGTCCGACCATTGCTTTTTTACCAAACAGAAGACATTACCCATGCTCAACTATATCAGCAACTGAACTTTTGATGTGCCCAAGGCCCAGGCCACCTGCAACCAAGTAAATCAGCCTCTCTGGGGCAGGACCCAGATATCTGTAATTATGAAAGTTCTCTCACTGATTCTAATGTGAGCCAGAGCTTAAAACTACCTCTTTGGGCATATTTTCCACTTGAGAACAGCCACCTGTCCTGTTGTGGACATCGAATCTTTTACTTTGTTTCAAATGGGGGACGCAATGAAATCAATCCATTAAAATAAATTCATATTTGCTGTTCTCATACTTCTGGGGATAGAGCTTAAGGTGTTTCTTCTGCCATGACAGAAGAGCAGCCTTTAGCTTGCGAGGGGTCAACCTCAGTGTGCCCTGCGGTTTCAGAAGGGATGATCTTATTAGATCTTTTCCAAATCCCCAGGCAGGTAAAGAATGTAGTAGCTCCCAGGTGGTCTGGCTGTTCTATTAGTTATTGGACAGATCATATAAGCTCACTGTACATTTAAAAAACAACAATAGTGATTTTTATCAGAATTACTCCCTAAGGAAAGGCACTGATTACTAGCCTGGAGTTTGCATTTTCAACCAGAACAACAAAGGCGATATACGTAACACCTCAGCAAGCCTACCCCGACCCCATCATGCATATATTATCCAACAAAACAGTTAATAGTCATTGTCAGTAACAAGCTGTGGGGTAATGAATAAATCCAAGGGAACCATTAAATGTAACAGTTTTATTTTCTTCTCATTTTTTCATTATTATCCGTGAGGTGGTCAAACTCGCACAGAAGGTACTTCTGTTTCCTTCCTCCCTCTCTCTCTCTCTCTCTCTCTCTCTCTCTCTCTCTCTCTCTCTCTCT